AGGTGCTCCTTCAGCCCCGCGTCCCGGCGGCTCACCAGCCCCTCCAGCAGCGCAAGGATGTCCCCCTGGGGTGGCTCTCCCCCTGCTGTCACTGCTGCCGCCCCACGACGCAGCTCCCACCGCGACAGCTCGGCCTCCAGCGCCTCAAAGCGCTTCTCCAGGGACTGGAAGCGAGCCAGGAGTCGGTGTCCCCCCTGCAGAGACAAAAACAGGGTGTGATGCAGCCCTCCAGAGAGTGCCTGCTCCACAGGACCCCTGTGAAAAGGGACCCTGACCACCCATTCCCCAGAGTCAGTGGCATCTTATTCATCTGCTGCTTCCCAGGACAAGGCAGACATTCCCCCTGCTCCATCCCAGGGATATCCCAAGAGAGAGATGGCCACAAGCTGGGGGAGGCAGTGTGGAGCCATCATCTGCCCCATCCTCTGCCATTCCTCACAGCCTGGAAGCAATTGTTCAGCCATGGATCACACCATCCCAGCTCTCCCTGCAAGGCACTCATCCCACCTGGGCCACCATCATGCCTTTGCTGAAGCTTACCTGGTCCAGCGTGGTCAGGTCCCCTGCCCCAGGAACGTCAGAAGAGGAGGAAAGCTTTCCAGCTCCCCACCACGGGAAGGAAGGCAGGCTGAGTGTCGACAGCCCATACGGGTAGAAGTACCAAGCTCCTGAGCACAGAAGGATGAGATGGTCAAAATCACAGGCTGGTAATGGCCACAGTAGTGGACAGGGTGGACTTGCAGAGGCTCAGCCATCAGCATCTCCAGGGATTGCCAGGAGACACTGGCACGGGGATGCAGACAGAGCAGGTTACCAGAAGCCATGGCTCTGAGCTCCAGGCCAGCCCATCCCCCAGCCATGGCAGTGGGATGCTCTGCACTGCCCCAGATCTCGGGGTGGCACGTCAAGGGAGGTGGCTCACCGTAGGCGGCAGCAGCGAGGAGCAGGAGGAGCAGCAGCAGCAGCAGGAACCTCCTCAGACGTGGGTAGCGCCTGGAGCACGGGGAAGAGAGAGGGCCTGAGGGACTGCAGCCACCTTCCATCACCTTTGGATGGGGCCAGAGGGAAAGCAAAAACACCCACCACCCCAAGCGTGCCTCCCCTTTGCAGGGTCCTTCAGGTTTTCCCCACGCTTCCCCCGCCCCGGTGTCCCCCCCAGCACACTCACCTGGAGAAGGGGACGTTGTCCAGGTGGGAAGCCGTGCCGGTGAGGCGGCGCCAGGCCCCTGCCAGCCCCGAGAACAGCCACCCCATGAACTGAACTGCCAGGAGAAAAAACAAGCCTCAGGAGGGGTCCTGACAGACCTGTCCCCTCCGTGCCCAAGGGTGGCACCACAAGGGGGTAAAACCCCTCCACCCAAACAGGGGACAGCACACACACCACCTGGAGAGCAGAGGTGCTGACTGGCAAGAACTCTGCTGCTAGAAGTGCCCCTGCCAGGCCTCCACTCACCTGGGGAGGTGAACACCTGCCAGAGGAAGGAGCCCACCCTGGAGGCTGCTGATCTCAGACCTGACCCAGAGCTACTCTGGCCTGAGTAATAGTGACCTGGAAAGGAAGCAGCAAGTCACCAATGCAGACAGCACCTCAGTGCACTGCCCACAGCAAAGGAACTGGGGGTGGCATTTAGCGGGGACTGGCAGCACAGTGGGTACAGCCAGGCCCTGGGCTGGTCCCCCCAGGGATGCTTCCCCTGCATTCCTGCCACTACAGACAGACTAGTGCATCCCTACCAGCGTAGTCGTCCTCCGAGGAGTACCCAGATGAAGATGTGTAGGTGTCGTACGTCTTGCTCTCTAGCACCCCATTGATCTTACTGGACTCGGTGTCCCCTGTGCCTCTTCTCCTCCTGGTGGAGAGCTCTCCACCTGCCCCAAAACACAGAGTTCCACTGAGAAATCACCCACCATCACTTCCGCAAGGGGCAACCCAGCCAGCCAGCCTGGGCAGCTGCCCCAACACTCTCCAGCATCCAGGGAGGTCCCCAGCTGCCCTGGGAGAGTGGGAGAGCTCACCCCAGTAGGTGCTGCTGTCCAGGTCATCATCCAGCATGGAGCTGCCCAGGGCAGCAAGGCCCCGGCTGCCCCCCAGGTAGGACTCGCTCATCATGGACTCGCTGTAGTAGGAGGTTTGGGTGCTGGGGGCGGGAGAGAGGCGCTTTGTGCTACTCGATTTCCTCCGGATCGTCCTGCGGGAGGCGAGAACAGGCTCGTCAGACATGTGTGGTTACAGGGTGGGCGTGTCACAGAGCACTCACGGGGGCAAATGGGTGATTCACCCCGACCCCTCGCCCAGCATCAGCTCCCTGCACACCGGCTGGCGGCAGCTCTCGGAGGCTGCAGCCTGTGCTTCGCAGAGGCCTCCCGCCCGTCCCGGGCATCGCTTCCGCTCGCACCGCTGCGGTTTTCCGGTGCACCCGCGGCGCACCTCCCTCCTCCTCCCTCCTCCCCGTCGCCATCCAGCTGCAGCTGGGCGCTGGCACCCCGCCACCCCGGGCAGGCTCCCGTGCCGGGCCCGCGCTGGGAGCGGGGATCCGGCTGGGCAGGGGCACGGCGCTGCCGAGGCGGCCATGCCGGAACCGCCGGGCTCACCGTCACGCTCCCATCCCCACACCCCACGCAGGAAGGTGCCCGCTCCCTGCCGTGGGATGGGATGCCCCGCCCGTGTCAGATCTGGGCGGGGGGAAGCCCCAGCGGTGCCCCCACTCACCTGCCGGTGGTCTCCTTGAAGGGGAGCTGCGTCCCAGCCAGCAGAGATGTGCTGCTGCTGCTGGTGGTGGCATCATCGTCCCCGGGGTAGTAGCGGCTGGTGACAAGGCGCTGGCTGCGGCGGGACATGGCGGCAGCACGGAGGGGAGCCGGGCTCACCTGGGGTGGGGAGAGGGCGGGGGAGAGAGGGAAGTGTCAGCGGCAGGGTCCCGGCAGGCACGCACCCAGCGGGATCCCCCGGCGGGGACCCCGCCCCCGGGGCAGGGGTCGGGCCCACACCGAGCCCCGTCCCGAGCTGGCGGCCGTGGGGCGCCCCGGGATGGAGCCGCCCCCGTTCAGGCCGATGAACCCCCTCTGCTTTCCCCTCCGCGCCTGGAGCGGCTGCCCCCGGCCCCTCCGCGCCCCGGCCCCACACGTTCTCCCCCAGGCCCGGCGCGGAGCCGGCCGCCCGCAAGCTCTGCCCCGGCTTTGCCCCGCCGCGCCGTCCCCCTCACAAACCCACCGGCAAGTGCCGCGCAGCGAGGAGCGATCCCCTCCTTCCCGCCCGGCCGCTCCGGCCGCCGCCGCTCCCTTTTGTTTTGCGGGGGAAGGCGGCACCCGCTCCCGCCCCGCCCCGCCGCCGGCAGAGGGGCCAGCCCCGCTCCCCCGGCCTCTGGGGACCTCTGCTTCATCATCGCAGTTATTGCTATTTATTGTTATCACCGCCACAGGCGTATTCTTTTTATTTCGATATCTTTTATTTTCATCATTTTGGGGGGGCCGACGAGGAGGGCCCATCCGCACTCTGCTGCCCACCGGGACCGGTCCCCAAACAGCTCAGCCCTGCGGTTCGGCCGCCGTGCCCAGCACGGGCAGCAGCCAGCCCACGCTGCCAGCCAAGGGCGTGGGCGATGCCGGCCCGAAATGGGAGCTCCCAGGTGCAGGGCTGCACCCCAGCCCCGTCTGGGCTTTTTTTGGGGCGGCTGGTTTGCTGGTCCTGCTGGGGTGAGAAATCCCCGCACCCCACGCACCACTTGTCACGGTGACACGGCCGAACCGATCCCTGGGGCGTGGGCAGCCCCCTCGACACTCGTGTGCCCACAGCCGCTGCCATCGCTCTGCCCCAGGAGGCTGGGCAGGCTCTGAGGGCCGTGTGAGCCGCAGCGGGCTGCTCCCGTGGGACCTTGAACGGCCCTTGTGCAAACTCACCCGGCTGAAAAAAAAACAGCCACCCCCCCGCACCTCGCGTTTCAAATCTGACGGCGTCTCGGAAAAAAAGATTTGCCTGGGGGAGCTCTGAGACTCGGAGTAACTGGCCACCTGTGTCTGGACGCGGTTGTTTAGGCTGTTTCTGTGGGAAACAGGAATGGTCCTCCTGGCTTTGCATATAGGGCAAAAAGGTATTTATATAAAGAGTTAAAAAAACTACGAAGCTGGCAGAAGGGAAGGAACCTATTGCAAAACAGCCCTGAAAGCTTTTCCTCCGTGTGCTGGGCTTTGGGGCACGAGCCAGGGCAGTGGCAGGAGGACGTGCTCTCAGCACGGGGGGGGCACACCGCAACAAACCCCGATTCAGCGGCCCCAGCCCCGTTGTGTAATGCAGACAGATCCTCTTTGTCTCCCTTTACTTTTTTTTTCCCCTGCCTTTTGAGCCCACTTTTTGTTTCAGCCAAAATCTCTGCCTAGCTTTTCCAGCTCCATCTCCCACTGTGCCAGCCGCCCTTTTTCACCCTTTCCCGTGGCTTCCCATCCCTTTGCAAGTGTCTGGCTGGGACAGAGGATATCTCCCCCCCCCAGTGGCACCTTTAACTCTGGCCGTGCAGATGGCAATCCCGTGTCCCAACCTGGGCACGCTGGCAGTGGCTGTCACAATGGCACCTGCTCCAGCTGACGTAACCCTGCGTGGATTAACCCCCCCGGGAGGCTCAGGGGATAAGCTGGGTGCTGAGCCACCAGGCACTAAGCAGGGTGCACAGCCCCAGGTCAATCCAGCCCCTCCTCAGGAGCCACTTTTTTGGGTCTGAAGGGAGTCAGTGGCAGTTCCTGGAGGATTTGATGTTTTCAAGGGACTGGGGTTTGTCCTTGCTGCATCCCTGGTCCTGTGGAGGAGGTGGTGATGTCAGAGCCATGGGAGTTTTTGAGTGGGTGTGGGAAGACTGGGACGAAGATAAGTGGTGTGTAGCTGGGAGCTTCTGCCTCATTTTCCCCACACCAGCAGTAGGGAGTCTCAGCTCTCTTTTGGGGGGTCACCAGGGCATCACCGTGCTGGGGGTGGGGCAGAAGGGGTGCGCCAGCTATTCCAGTTTGGCAGTTCTTGCTGGGGAAAGGCAGGAAAAATCCCTACCTTTTCCTAAAAGGCTTTAGAGGGCTGAAGTGACACGTCCAGGCATGCAAGGACAGGCCAGGGCTGAGAAATCAGCCTTGGTGGGGAAGATCACAGCTTGTGTCCTCTCCACTAGGCCAACATTTTATTTAAATTCCCTCCCTGTCCCACCTATCCTTACAACCTGCTTTCCTGGTTCATCAGGCCACTAGCTCGGGCACCACCAAAAGCTGACGCTACACGGAATGAGAGCTGCACATGGATCCCCACATCACCCTCAGCAGCACACCACAACAGCCCAGTCCAGCGGGGTACCCAGCCCCCATCACACCCACGACCCCACATCGTCCACCAGCACCTTCTCCCGGTGGGCTGCCCTGGCCAGGCAGTGTCCCACCGCCGCCAGCACCTTCCCCAGGCGCCGGTCCAGCGCCTGCAGGTGGGGCTCAGCCAGCACAGGGGCCAGGGGGTCTGCGGCCAGCGCCTCCCGCAGCACGTCGCTCAGGCGGTAGGGCTGGGTGGCCAGCAGCTGCAGCCGCAGGTAAGTCGACTTCTTGATGCTGCCAGGGATGAGGAGGGAGAGGTCTCAGTAGGAGGGGCCTGTCCCCAGCAGCAGGTGCGGGGTGGGGGCAGCCCCTTACCTGCAGCATTGCTGGAGAGGGGCCAGGATGGACGGTTCATCGCGTGAGTGCGCGCCGAAGCTGGGGAGGGGAGAAGCCCATAAGGATGTGTCAGGGTGGCATTTCGGCAAGACTGGAGGTCTCCCCCCACCCCTTTGCTGTGACTGCTCCCCCCTACTCCGCAACTTTACCCGCGACCGTTGTCCAGGTGGAGCAGGAAAGTGTCATTCCCAAATTTCTCAAAGGTCTCATAGTGGTGCCGGTCCATGTTGCCTGTGGGGCCAACAAACTTGGCATCAGGCTGTGGGCTGGAAGATGGGAGCAAAGACACAGAGCACTCTTCTGGTGTGAGACTGAAACCCAGAGCCCTGGGAAAAGGGTTGGAGGCACCTCTAACTTGTCCATCTAGTGGCCATGGCCGTGCAGGGGAACTGAGCAGAGACCCCACGGCCTCCCCTTCTCATCCCAGCAGCCCCACAGAGGGACAACAGTGGCAAATGGAGCAGAAGTAATGGCAAAGGCATGGCTGGGTGGTCAGGAATGAGGAGATGGGAAACTCTCCCAGTCAGATGCTGGTGAGGGGACAGTGCAGGGAGAAAGAAGTGGCCCAGGGACAGGAGAGGCAGCAAGAGCCCTGGGCAGCACCATCTCCACCTCTGGCTCTGCAGGGGCTGCACGTTGAGAGCGTGCTGGAAGGTGCTCCCCATGTCCAGGGTATTCAGCTGGGATTCCCGACCTTCGACTTCTGCCTAGGAAATGCCCTGGTGGCACAGCCCTGTGCCCTCCTTGTGAGTAAGACTGTGGCTCACTGCAGCCTGAACAACAGTCTGGCCAACAAATCTCACAGGGCATGGTACCACGGAGCCATTTGGGCCTGCAGGTGGTGAGGGACCTGCACGGCCCTCAGCAGGGGCAGGAGGGGCTCACCCATGAGGAAGTCGAGGATGGCCATGTCGATGAGGTCGAGGAGCCGATGGCCCCTGTCGTAGGGCGGCGTCTCTTGCACCTGAGCGCAGTAGTTGGGGTTCAGCTCCCACCTGGTGGCAGAGGCCAGGAGGACAATGGGGCTGTCAGAGCGGCTCTGGAGAAGTCCCCTCCCATCCCCTGGCTCTGCTGGCCCACGTCCCCACACCCCCACGCCCCGTCTCACTCAGCCTTCTTGCTCTTGTGGTAGGAGCGGCGCCAGGGGCTGCGCCAGGAGCGGCGCTTGGCCAGGGTCTTGTCAGGGAGCAGGGCAGCCATGGAGCCCTCCAGCCGGTCCGGTTTGCCGCAGAGGGCGTGCTCGGTGGAGCAGTAGTAGGAGCACTCCCCGTAGAAGCAGACGTTACCCGCTGGCCAGGTGACAAAACAAAGGTTGACAAAGAGAAGGAAGGCACCCCCAGGCAGAGTGGGCCTGCGAACAGCCAGGGAAGGATGCTCCGTGCACCATGGGCCACCAGCAAAGCAATGGCAGGGGAGGCTGTGAGGAGCAAAGGCCTGTGGCAGGGTACCCGTGGGAGCTGGAGCAGTCCCCAGCAGGATTATTTATCTGAGTGTGAGGGGAGCCAGGGCAGCAGCAGCCAGCACCAGGTGAGCTCCATCCAGGTGGCCACAGGAGAGGATGGAGAGCATGAAAGCTCACCTGGGGAGATGAAGAAAGTCTTGGCCAGTTTCTTGTCTGTGGTGATATCCCGAATTTCCTTTGTTATGTTGACCAATCGTCCAGACACTGGGGGGATTCGCCGGAAATCCAGGATCCTGAAACACAGACCTTGGAACTATTTCTTACTGACCTCAGCTGGTTTAATAACAGTGAGTTATTAAAACTGACAGGAGACACAGGTATTCTTCACTAATGGGAGCGAGAGGTGGGACGAAGGAGGAGTTTCTCTGGTGCTTTGCCAGTATGGCAAGGGCAAGCTTGGATGCAAAGCTTATGCTCACCTGTCCAGGTGGAAGGCTGCAATCTCTGCATTGTGCCGCTCAAAGTCTGAGAAGTAGAAGAAATCAATGGGGGTCTCCTGGTCCCGGGTCTGCCTGGAACGAGAGGGGACAGTGGGGGCAATGATCATGGATGGGGTCACTCCAAGCGTGGGATTAGTTCCAAACCACCACTCACTTGTGTTCCCTTGTGACACTGGAGACACAGCCAGACCCGGTCTCCTTCAGTCACTTCCTGATGGGTGGGTGGCTCCAAACCCCTTTCCAAGCTCCCAACTCAAGGGGTCGGGGAAGCCCTCATGCACTGGAGCTCCTGGATGGTCCTCATAGACCACCTTCTTCTTTCCACCACTGGAGGTCACTACCCCATCACAAGCTGCATCCAGTTTGCAGCAAGCACCGCCAGGGAAGGCAAGGGAAACGGGACCATTCTGCTCGCCTCAGTTTTGGGATGGAGGTGCTGGAGCGAGGCAGCACACGAAGCATTGCTCCATTTCTCCCTGCATGGTCTCCTCTGACCACTCCTCGCTACCTAACAGGACCGTGTGGGTGAGGTATAGGGTTGTCCCAGGCTCTACTCACTTCATGGGCTTGAAGAGGGCCTGCCCATAGTTTGGGAACGTCATGATGAGCTTGAGCTGGGTCCCGCCGGACTTCTGGACTGAAAGGAGGGACATGGGGATGAGGGAGACAGGCAGCAGGCAGCGGGGTGAGCAGGGCTACAGGCAGGGAGGTGGTACCTGAGCTGATGATCCTTTGCGTGGCCAAGTCTCGGAGGAGCGTGGGCAACAAGGGGTCCCGGCGGGGGTACAGCTCATAGCGGTTGATGCCGATGTGGAATTTGAGCCAGGTGGGGTAGGTGTCATAGGCTGTCTTCCCTGTCGGGAGGAGCGTCTCGGCTTTACTGCTGCTGACCCTGCAGCCCGAGAGCCACCACCGCCCCAACAACAATGACAGCTTTTAGTTGGGACAGGATGGGTCCCGTGTCCCCGGGCCCTTCCTGGGAGCCAGTGCATGGAGGGTGAGGTGGGGAGAAAGGCCAGAGCAAGCCCTGGATTGGTTCCAGGTTTTATGGTGGCAGAACTGCCTGCCCCATATGGCCTCCCTGGGGCTCCTGGCACCTGGCAGATCCCACCAAAAGCTGGTGGCCAGGAAGACCCACCAGCATGGCTGGATTGGACACAGTGTCTTCCCTCCATCCCCCATGGAAAAACCCTGGGTTGATCTTGTTTCTCTCATCCATGCATTTATTTCCCTGCTGGAACAGATCATCTCACTGTTTTTCCCGAAGGGATTGGCTCCCAGGAGCACAATCTGCTTCATTTCTCCATGTGCCTACTGGGGACACACGTGTGTGCATGGAACAAGGGTGGAGAAGCACGGGCTTCCCAGCCATCCCCAGCACGGACCTGAACTCCCATTCTCAACAACCTGTTCCCCTTGGGTGGGTTTCCCCAGGGGGATAAGTTTGGGTTAGCACTGTCCCTGCCTCTGTGCATTCTGCAAATTTGCAGTTTGCTGGCATTCAAGGGAGCCCCTGGGGGTATGTGCCCCACCTCTGTGCTAGCACACACTGGCACTGCAATGGGACAGTTAGCCCAAGGCACCTGTAACCCAAATCCACATCTCTCTCTAGGAAAACACAGACTGCGCACTGATTTCATAAAACCAGACCCAAGGTGGCCTCAGAGATAAGGCAAATGCCCAGTTGTGGAAACCAGCTCTTAAGCCAGCTTTTATTCTCTCCACATTCTAGCAAGCACCACTTTGGAAGGTGCGCTTTCTGTAAGGAAGCTGCTATGTGTTACAATGCTAAAGCTTCTAATAACTTCCCTTCTAATTAGAGGTTAGTAGTCCAAAGATAAAAATAGACAGCTGTCAGCAGTGAGATCACCGTATGGCCAAGCCTAACAAGGTCAGGCAATATCCTGCAAAATGCAGGACAGGAATGGTCTCATGGTTAGAGGCAACCTAAATTGCAAGCTTTGCATCTCCAACATACCGAGAGACGGGGATAAAACTGGTTAGAAATATGGAGTGGGGACTTCCTTATATACAGAGAGAGAGAGACTAAGATCTAGCCTGCACTGGGGAAGGGAAGGAGCTGAGGAGATCACCTAACAGATATCCATAATACAATGAATAATTCAAGAATCTCCTTCAGCTTTGCTGTAGGCTACAAGCTTATGGGTAGCAGCCCAAAAACTCAGGGCTAGGAGAGGATTTGAGATATGAGAAGAGCATGCTCAGTAATGGGGGCCCCTCTGGGGTAGGATGATCTACAGAAGGGAACTACATTTGGTCCCTGCTGCTTGTTCCCTCTAACCCACACATCCCCCAAATGCAGCTAGGGTTGAGCTGGCTCCTCACCATTCGTCACTGCCGCTGCTGCGCAGGCTGAACTTCTCCATGGGGTTGACGACAAACAGCTTGTCCTTCTCTGTCACCTCTGGGATTGGGATGTTGTAAAGAGGATGCTCGAAGAGTGCTGCCAGCTTTGATCCCTTGGTCCACCCTGCATTGGCCTCTTCTTGCTGCTGCTGGACCCCTGGCTCTCCAGCCCTTAAGTGCAGTCCTGCTCTCTCTGGCTGGGAACTTTTCTCCAAGGAGCCGTTGCTTCCACTGAAATCCTGAAGGATTCGCAGGCTCAGCTTTTTGAGGCCGCCCGGCATGGGGCTGCCTGATGGGACACCCACAGCTTTTGATGCTCTAGTATTGCAGCCACAGGACCTGTGGGTTGTGGGGAGAGCAAAATCCACCACCAGGTGCACGAGAAGGGCCAAGAACAGAAGAAAGAGAAAGCTGAATTTAAGTTTCCTCTGGAAAAGCATTTGCAGCCGGCACCGCATCCTTCCTCACACAAAACACTCAGCAAGGGATGGGCACGAACACAGGGTTAAAAATGTTGGTGTGGCTGCAGCCTCTGTGCAAAAATAGGAGAGAGGTTTCCTGGATTTAGAGCATCGCAGCAAAAGACCAACTGGTGCACGGGCAGAGTGGCAGGAACGATCTGTCACCACGGCACCTCACAGTGTGACACCACCAGGATGGGACAGGAGGTTGTGGCAGGGTTTATCAGAGCTGATTAGGGTCAAGCTGGCACTGCCAAGGTTAGAGTGAACGGGGCAAGTTCCAAATCAATAGCTGCAATGCTGGCTCAGGGACAGCAATGGCTGCGGGTGACTCCCCACTGTCCTGTCACCTGCACAGGGCTGCAGAACGTTTCTTTGAATACAGGGCATTAAAATGGTTGGGCCCCTCTGCAGCACACACCCTGCCAAGCACTATATAGCCCCATTCCCCCTGTTCATCATAGCTGCACTCTCAGGATCCAGAAGAATTTTTTTTTTTATTGCTTGGCCATATCAATTTTATCACCCTCCCTGATCCATTGAAAATCAGTTGCACTCAAGCCCCCTTTCAAAAATCACTCAAACTGGATAAAATGAAGGTGATGTGAGTATCAACATTGCTGCGAGGGGAAATGCTGGGCTGGCAGTGTAAGGAAGGGCCACCAGGCAGGTGAGTTTCAGGGGCAAGGATGTTCCCAGGGCCTCTAAAGCAGGTAGGGGAGGCAGGCAGGAGTGGGGGTACTGCCTTGGGCATTGGCCCAGAGGGACAGTGGGACCCACCAAGTGCTGGGGAGGACTGGCAGCTTGTGGAAGGGAAGAACATGCCTTTTTACAAAAAAATTCATTTTTGCAGTGACACCAGGGACACAGAGCTGGGATGCATGTACAAAAATGGTTCATGACTTGTAGGGATGGAGCTCTGTATTTGATAAGGGACAGACAAGCCCAGGACCACCTGCAGTAAGTCTGGGGGCTGCGGTACAGTCTGGCACAATATTTATTTTCTCTTCGCTCTTCCAAAGGATGCAGAAGGCATGTGAAATCCCATACATCGTGTAGTTCTTCCTTGTCGCGAGCTGCACCAGCAGCCAGCTTGGGAATGCTCACTCCCCGCCAGGGAGGGTATGATGATCAGGGGGGCTATCCTAGAGACCCCCTCCTCTGCTGCCATGCCCGCGTGTCCCGGTGCCCTGCCAGGCGGCGCTGGGAACGCGCTGTCCCCGGCTCCCGGCTCGCTGTCCCACGGCGCGGCAGTTGCCTGGAAACCGCCTCCGGCTGACACCATCCCCGCCCCAGACTGAGCCGGCCGCGTTCCCGAGCCTTCTGCTGGCAAGATGGCCGGGGAGAGCCGGGGCAAGCGAGGAGGAGGAGAGCTTCCCAGCCCGGCTGGCGAGCTCCAAGCCCCGCAGAAGGAGCTGGTGGAGGGGAGCAGATGGCTTCCCTGGGCGGAGGAACACGGCGTCCTGCTCCGGGAAGTTTGCTGAATTCAGTCCGGACACACGTTTCAGACAGAAGGCCCCTAGGAGGGGATGTAGCTGGAACATGGGATCATTAGGTCATGGCTCAGAAAAACAGCAACCAGCCAGCCAAAACACCAACTCCATGTACTAACTGATCGCATCAAAGGAGCTGGGCTCGGCTCCCGGAGCACCGTCACAGGTTTCACTAATCCAGAGCCAGCCCTGAAGAGAGGGACACCTCCTCATTCCAGTGCCTCAAACCAGCAACAAATGGGGCTGGAGGGGATAGAAACCTCTTTCTCATGTCCTGGAGTCAGATGGGCACAGGGACCCTACGGGCTGAAGCCACCCTGCTGACTGTTAGTCCCATTCCCAGATAATGAAATTTGTAATCCTACCTCCTCACCCTAATTTAGCATCCCATTGCAAAGCAAAGGCAGGGGGCTTAGGTGAGGCATTTGCCACCCTTAGCACTTCAATGCTGGCATTAAATATTAACCAAAAGGTATTTCAGCGAGTCCGACGTGAGCCTGCAGCGACAGAGAAGGGCTGGAGACCTTCAAAGTCTGCCCTGATCACCTGACTTGTTGCCATGACATCATCATAGAGAGAGGGTTGAATTTGCACCTTTTTCTTCTCATCTCCCCCCTCCAGCTCTTCCTCCATCTTCCCAGCAGGTTCAAGTCACCCTTGGGGCGGAGGAGGAGCCCTACATCCGAGGACATTTTCACTGCCGGCTCCAAATCAGGACTCGTCGGCAGCTGATAATGATGTTCCCATCTCCCCTCAGCAGGGAGGGATGAAGTCATGAGGCACAGCCTCTGAGCTAATATCGCAGCTTTAGGGGACGGGTGGATAGAAAGAGTCATTTTGGCTGCCACCCATCCATCACCCTGCGTTTTCCATCTCATTTTCCACGTCTGACTCAGCCTGATGCTTTGATGGGTAATGGCAGCAATATGCAGGGGGGCAAGAAATGAGAGGGAAACACAATAGCAAGCAAACTGTTGCCAACTTTCCCAGCTTTCCACTGAAAATCTGCAAGGAAAAATCCTCCAGCAACTGAGAGCAGTTTTGTAGTAAAAAGTAGAGAGGCCTTAGAGGCTCTAAAGCCTCATAGAATCATAGTTTGGGTTGGAAGGGACCCTTAGGGGTCACCCAGTCCAATGTCGTTGCAATGACCAGGGGCACGTTGAACCAGACTGTATTGCTCAGAGCCTCATCCAACCTATCCCTGAATATTTCCAGGGGTGGGGCACCCACCACCTCTCTAGGCAACCTGTTCCAGTGTTTCACCATCCTCATTCTAAAACACTTCCCTTCCCTTCAATCCAATCTAGAACAAACCTCCTTTAGTTTAAAACCTCTAACTCTTTGTCCTATCACAAGAGGCTCTGCCAAAAAGTCCCTCTCCAGCTTTCCTGTTGACATCCTTTAGGTACTGAATAAGGTCTCTCCAGAGCCTTCTCTTCTCCAACCCTCTCAGCCCGTCTTCATCGCAGAGGTGCTTCAGCCCTCTGATCATCTTCATGGCCTCCTTTGGACTGGATCCAGCAGGTTCATCAGCCACACAGGGGTCTCTTGTGGGAAAACACAGGACAAGGTTCCACCTCTGATCCATAAACATTACTCCTCTGAAAATTACAGGTATGTCCAAAGATGTTCCAGCTCCATGGCAAAAGGAGGGTGAAAGTCTTTTTTCTAACACACAGGGGCCAGCAAAGGATGGCTCAAAGTGCAACAGGCAGGACAACGGATCTGACACACAGCCACATTTTGGGAGGCTGAGGCTTGTGCTTTCAGGTACAATGTCAATGACAGGAATGCAAAACAGCTAACAAGGGTTTGCCTCAAGGTGACTACCTATAGGAAAGCTGTTACCCTTGTAAATAAAAATAGCCTGCCACTCTCCTGTGAGCCACCTTGCACTTACCTGGTGAGAATGGCAGTGTGGAGCTGACTTGCTGCACATTCACACCTAGCTCACCCCAATCTGTTGGCACACTCAGGCTTGAGAAGGCTGGGGAGCACTCACCCTTCCCTTGTTGCCAATGCAGGTCACAGAGACACCAGCTTTGATCAGCTGGTGGCCAAGAAGATAAACAGGCAGCAAGTCCAAGAGACTGTGTGCTGATGTCAGCAGCTCCCTGTGGTCATCTGCAGGTCACCCCAACCCTGCAGAGATGCCCATGACCAGCGTGCCTGTGCATATGCACAGAGCAGTTAATTATTCATTAGTGTGAAAGAGGCACAATTAAAGTGACCGTGGTATGGCTGAAGGGATCAACCCACTCCAGCTTGGGGCATTTCAAAGACTTTACCTCTTGCTCTGAATTTAGAAGAGACAGAAAGTTGCAGAAGAGGAAATAATCTTTTCCACCTGCCAGCTGTAGAAAGTGTTGTCAATAGCACTATCTTCACATAAAGGCAGCCAGCTGGAGGGACACAGAGCACCTGCACAGTGAGAGCTCAGAGGATTTGGGCTCTTACACACAGCCCAGCAATCCTGATCATGGGGCAGGAATCATGGTACCAACCTACCCTGGCCCAGCCAAGCACAGATGGCCCAAATTTGAAATAATTCTTAGTTGTCTTCATATTACTCCAACTCCTGGCTTCCTGACACAATGAAATTGAGAAAAGACATCTCTAGCATAACACTTGAGGTTCAGAAAAAGGAACAAAAGGAATTGTAAGACCAGGTTGATTGACCACAGGCATTAATGCAGAAAGATCCTTCAGACTTAACTATGGATTAGAGGTGTCAGCTGGCAACATTCTGAGAACAGATCTGAAAATTAAGGAAGCTACAAATAGGAGACTCCAACAGTCAGAGTTGAGGCACCCTGGAGAGGCAGCAGACACAGTTACAGTCCCTTGCTGCTACTGCTTAGACAGCTGCCTGTCAGACAGGACAGAGGGATGTGGCCAGCAGCACCATGGGCCTGGCAACCCTCCTCACCACCGTGGCTCGCACTGGTAAAAGGAACTGAACAGGGAGGATGAGAGTCACACAGGAAACCAGGATGGAACCCTGTCACTGGCCTCTGCCTGTGCCACACCATGGCTTACTTATTTCCATGTTTCTTGAACTACTCTGCCTACATAAACACACGCAAAGACATTTTACTAAACTTTTATTGTAAAAACACAGTTCCCCAGGTTTATAAATAAGCCATACATGTAACATAGTTACGCTCATTCGATCCTCCAACACCAACAGCTTTAAAAAATGAAACTGGCTAAAAGAATGCAAGTCCAGAAAGACATTAGGTATCTGATGACCAAGTTATATTTCACATGGAGCCTCCTTTCTCTGTCAGCCTCCAAACAAGATGCTGAAAGTACACAGCACTTGCAACACCCCCAGGAACTGACAGGGAGGCATTTGAGCCTTAAAAAGAGCTCTCACCCACTCCCCAGGCATCGTCAGCCGCCTGTGTTTTCATGCTGTCTCAGTGTGCCGTGGGTGAGAAAGGAGGGGGCAGTTTGCATAGCAACCTCCTACACCCAGGCAGCTCAGCTGTTGTACCCTCCCAAAACAGCAGGGAAGGGCAAGCTGGGACTGCTTCCCTGCGGCTCACACCTCCACAGACAGCCTGAAGGGAGACCCTTGGTGCTGTCAGGTCTGCACAGACGTCTTAGAAGAAAGGAAGAATGTATAAGCAGCATCCAGAGAGAGGAAAGACAGGTGCTGGTCAGCCATACTGCATGGTAGCAGAGAAAGCAGAGGAGAGAGGAAAACTATGTGGAATAAAGGGGAGTTAAGAAAAACCGTAGGGCTAGATGGTACCTTTTTGCTTTCACTTTCCCCTGCTAGCACTGCTGTGCAGTGTGTTGTGAGATTACCTGTTCCTCACTTCCCTCCTGCTCCAGCTCAAACACCAAGGAAAGAGCCACAGACAGATGAGAAATCCCACAAGCAAGGACAGGACAGTTTAGCAAATTTATACACACACACACACCAACTTTATGTATCCCACAGAACTGTTACGTCAGTATGAAAAAAAAGAAATCTTGACATTTAAGTATTAAAAATAAAGCCCCACCTCCAGATCATACAAAACTTGTCAAAAGCAGGAAGAAATCTCTTGTATTCAGCAAGTCTGGGACCCGGCCAGGGGTCAGGAGCACTTCCAGACACACACGGCCAGGCTGCCACCAAAGAACATGTACAGCAGGTTCTTCACCTCGTGAGTGATCTCAAAGCCAAAGCCTTCCCCAATCACCACATGCCAGGAGGACCCAAATCTCTTGTCCATCGTCTCTTTGATCATCTTGGCAGCGCTCTGGAGAACATTAAGGAACACAGCATAGGGTGAGACAAAGCACCCAGAGAGGTTTTATACAAACATTGCCTTAATATCCTCCACCCTTTAAGACTACTCAAGCCATGGGCAACAGGTATAACAGCTGTGCCTCAGGAACTGGGAGCTCCCCAGAGGTAAACCCAAGGGTAGAACTGGTCTCAGCAGCCTCCAGCACAACAGCAAGGAAAAATTAAAGAACTGCATCACCTCTGTTGTTCACACAGTCTGAAGGGAGAGTTCTGCTTTAGATGCTGCTGGAGTTATAATGGCTGCAGTGACCATGAGAGCAGATTCAGGTCACTAAGCTGCAGCTATTTTTACAGGAGTCCATTTTTTTTTCTCCAGCTAATTACCAAAACACTGAAAGTAGGCTGACTTTTAAAAGGCTTGCTTCTCCCAGATCACACCCTGCTTGATCCTAAAAAAGGCAAGAGGAATATTTTTCAATGACAGGCAGTGCCCTGCCCACGAAGCAAGGTATGTCTTCCCTTGATCGTCAGTCCTAAAGCCAAGAGGGAATACTTAACAGACTTTCATGTACTCATCCCCAAACAAGAGATTCCATGCAGCTCTGAGCCAAGCCCTCAGGACACAAGGCATTTTATGAACAGAGTGGGAGCACGTCTCAGGAAGGCAGGATAAGCAGAGAGGTAAGGTCTGGGAGGCAGCACCACTGCTAATCTCTGCAAAGTGCTCTTGTAGCTCTTGCAGACCAAAGGACCCGAATCTGAGATCGAGCCAAGCTCTGTGCCTCCTTCTAGCTCAGTGCTCAGGGATGTGAGGACCTGAGTGTGCTGTGCCCTGCACCCTCCTGCGTGCTGCTGGGGCCCCCTGGGGTGGCTGTACCTCGTTGTTGGTGGCGTGCTTCTCGCAGGCGGTGACGCACAGCTCCATGGTCTCCACGCGCATCTCCTCCGGCATGTCCGAGTGCTGCACAGGACAACCACACAACACAAGCAAGCACAACATGAGGGCTGCACCCAGGACAACAGGGAGCTGCTCTAGCTTCTGCACTGGCTCTACCAGGGGCTTGCATGTAGTAAACAGGAAAAGGCTTATTGCACTAGAAGTGAACCACTCCTCCAGCCAGTGAGGAATTCTTCTCTACCTACATGGAAACTAGCACTGTGTAAGCACAGCTTAAAGAAGGAAATCAAGACATCTGCCAGTTTTTCTGCTGTAAGATAAAGGGGAAGCACACTAACACTGTTTCCACCACAGCCCTTAATTACTGCTATATGAGTAACAAAGAAGTCTAAATTACACAGCCTTTTCTGCTGCTGCTGCTGCTGTCTGGCTGGCTAGCAAGATCTTTTGCTCCAGCTTCTCCAGGACAAAAAGCAAGCTGCATCCAAAACACAAGAGAGGGCTCCAAAGGCAATGTGCTCTCCATCTGTCTGATGGATCACTTTGCCCAGGCTTCCTCTGGCTATCACAGGGAACATCAGAACTATTAGATTTCCCCAGGAGAGGTCAAGGACAGGGAGAAAGCAGCAGTGACCACCAGCATCTCTCCACAGGACCAGCAGTGCACATGTCCTCACAGCAGCCATGCAGCAGCAGAAGGACAGTAAGAATGAAGGCAGATTTTAATCTCTGACACTGGTAAATGTTAAAAAACAAGGTAAAGAAGGACAGTAAGAATGAAGGCAGATTTTAATCTCTGACACTGGTAAATGTGTAATCCATCTCCCTCCATACCCTAATCAGAGGAAAACTGTGCAGCCTTTTATAATCAGCCTCGTCCTTTTTTTCCTCCTCAGTTTCTTCCATGGTCCTTCCACAGAGACTCCAGGAAGGGGCAGAGGGGCTCCCTGGAGTTCAGCACAGTGCTGTGGCACAGCCAGCTGAGAGGAACAGGGTTCTGTGTTCCTCTCTTCAGCAGGAGGAGTTGTTTCTTGGCCTAGAGGACACTGCTTCAACAAAAACAAACATGGGCAAGAGACAGATGGCTTTCAATTAACACAAGAGGCAAATGAAACTGTTACAAGAATATCATGCTCTCTCACTCACTTGCCATTTCCTCAACAACACCTTCACACCCCCTGAGAGTCTTAGCTCACAGACCATTAATGCAAACAAATTATTAAACTGTATCTTTTTCCATAAGTGAGGAGCACAGCACTTCCCAGAAGCACCAGCAGAGCTTGAGGGAAGAGCTGAGCCAAGGTACAGCTTTCAGGAGAGGACAAGAGAACAATATATCAGCTGCCACCTCTCTTGATTAATTCCAAAAGGGTTTTCCCAGGACACCATTATCTGCAATGGTTTCAAGCTGCACATGACACGGGAAGGGCAGGAGTATTTTAGGCACAGAATCTGCGTACTCGTCTGGACAGAATCGTTTAACGGGAACATCTTGGTCTCGTTTGTGCACTTGCTCCTCAGCTCCCCGAGCATTTGTCAGCTGGGGAGAGCCATATGGGAAAACTCAGGGCCGCATCACCAGCCTGCCTCTACCCGGGCACCGCAGAGCACAGCCCTGCCGGGGAGATTCAGGGGTGCTGAATCTCCCTCTGCTTCTCTGCCCCGCAACGCAGCACCCAGGGGAGCAAGGGGGAGCTGGTACTAAAAGGAAAACGAGGCCAACACGGTGCCAGGCGCCACACTGTTGGCTAAAGCACCGAGTCAGACCACCGACAGTCACCCGCGGCCGACCCAAGCCACGACCCCCGCAGGACAGAACCCATCCCCGGGAGCGCCTCCAACACCCACCCCCGGCCCGGGAGTGCCCGCGGCCACAGCCCAGGGCGTGGGGCGGCGGAACGCGGCCCGAGCGCACCGCACACCCGGAGCAGCCCCGCCGCCCTCGTCCCCGCGGAGGAAGAGCCCGGCCAGCGGCACCGGGCCGGGCACCGGGCGCGGCCTCACCTGCGCGGCCGCCGCGGCCCAGCGCCGTTGCTAAGGAAGGGCCGCGCTTGTCATAGCAACCGGCGCGGGAAGTCCCGCCCCCTCGGCCTCCATTGGACGGGGAGCGCCGCCCGGCGCGTCTGATTGGCTGGCTTGCTGGCGGCCGCCGCGCGGGGCCTTGGGGCGCTGGCGGCAGTGGGGTGGCCGCGGCGCGCCTGTGCTGTGCCGCCCCCCCCATGACCCCCAAGTCTGGCAGTTCGTATTTTTCTGACTTAAACCCCTTAGGGCCTAGTTCGAGGTATTTTTTTCTTTTAAAAAACAAGGATAAATATAAGAACAAGGAGCGATTTGGGGCAATTTTGGTGGTTTTTTTGGTTTTTAAAAATGTTTTCCCACAGAATCAGGTTAGGAGAGCGCTCTGAGACCATGGAGTGCCACCTGAGGCCGAACTGCCCCGTGTCCGCCAGCCCATGGCGCTGAGTGCCGCTCCCAGCCTTGCCTTAAACACCCCCGGCACAGTGACCCCACCGCCTCCCTGGGCAGCCCGTTCCCGTGGCTGATCCCTTTCTGTGAAACAATTCCTGCTGATGTCCAGCCTGAACCCCCCTGTGCAGCCTGTGACTACGTCCTCTTGTCCTGTGTGGTCGCTTGGCAGAAGAGGCTGACCCCGACAGGCTCCTCTCAGGGAACTGAGCCTCCCCCTCTGCAGGGTGACCAACCCCAGCTCCCCCAGCTGCTCCTCACAGGATCTGTGCTCCAGACCCTTCACCAGCTCCATCCTCCTTCTCTGGACATTCCCCAGCACCTCCATGTCCTTCCTGAGATGGGGGCTCCAGAGCTGGACACGGTTCTCGTTGTGTGGGAGAGGCTCATGCTTGCATGTCAGCCGGAGTGTAGAGAAGGAGAAAGTGATGCTGTGGGGATGAATCATGAGCTTGCAAACAGCTCCTGTAGCACCAGCCTCCATCCCCACGGAGAGAACATCGCCTCCCTCCCGCCCTCCGTAGCTTTATGCTTGTAATGTCTGTTTGTTTTGAGGTTTTTCTTGGCTCTGGGCTTGCTGCAAACCTCTGTTGTTTCTGCTCCCTGCTAGCCAAACACCGATTGCCTCTAAACCAGGGCTCAAACAGTTTTCAGGGAGGTTTAGGGTTGCATTAATCCAAAATTAACAAGGATGGAGAAGCAGCAAGCTCCAGGACAATACCGAGGGAAATACTTGTCCTGTGCAAAGCCCCAGCTGCTGGGTGTGATGCCTGGTTTTCCATCAGTGGCCATCCCTCTCTTGCAGAGTGGCTCATGGGTCTGATTTTTCATGTGCTGCTTGTGGCTGGGTCTGATTTTTCATGTGCTGCTTGAAATGTCCTTGCTGCTCGCTGCCTGCTGAAAGAAGAATTTGCTTTCCAGCTGTTTGAGAAGGAAAAGAGTGGGGGAGGAACACTCTGGGCACTGTCCTGCCCCTGCCAGCCCAGGCATCTCTTCCCTGGCTGTAGCACCAAGCTGTGCTGTGATCCTGGGGAGAGCAGCACCCTGTTAACCTCTTGCACAGGTTTGGCAGTGAATCCCATCTCCTGGCTGTGCCTGACAGAGCAGTGCCGGGGGCAGGGAAGCAGCCTTTGGGCTTGGGAAGACAAAGCTGCAGTGATCATTCATGTTTTCCTTTTCTGTCGCTGCTGGTGGTGACAAAAATGAAGCACCGCCTCCTGTGCCACTCGTTCTCCTACCATTCCTGCCTCCTGGGCTAATTCCTTCTCCTTCCTCTTCTGGGCCTCTCGCAACGAGGCAGGCACAGAGCTAAAATTGTCAAGAGACAGATAAAAGCTGGGAGATCATCATTTTTTCTTTTCAGACAAGATAATTAGGGAGAGAATCTCTGTGAGGAAGAAGATCTTTCCATCATCATTACTTTATCTCCAGGCAGCTACTCTCATCTCTCCAGGGACACAGCTCTTTCAAGCACCGTATTCTCGCTGTGTTTTTTTTAATGCTTTAATCCCTGTGTAGTTCACCCACTTTTACTACCAAGCAGCGAGTGAGTGTGAGCTGGTCTGTTTGTGTGCATGTGCACACACCTGTCTGTGTGATTCTGGGGCCAACTGAACGTGCTTTGGCTCTGATCTGTGTGACCCCCGGGAGTGTTTCCCTCAGGGAACGTGGGGACTGCTTGTGAGGAGTGTTCATCAGTGGCTCCTAGGTGAGAAGCTAAAGGAAAGCGGCCAAAGAAAAACTGCAGCGGGCCAAAGACAGGAAAAACAATGTTTTTGTGATTGCGGTGGGTGATACAGTGTGGCTGCGAGACAGAGATGCCTCCTGAGGAAGGAGAGCGTTCTGCTGGCCTGCCTCCATCTGCTGTGCCTTAACAAAATGTGAGCAGCTGGTTTCTGGACCCTCGAGTGCAGGTTTCCACGGGCTGCCTCTGTATGACACTGCAGACCAGTGAGAGCCTCGCTGAGCCAACAAAGGTGACGTGTGCTGCTCTTTGTGCTGCTGGCCCTGGTGGCACAGGCAGCATATCACCTCATCTTTGGTTCCCACTACTAGTGGACCAGGTACCCCTCTGTAGGTGAAAGCAAGTGCAGAGCACGGGTTCAGCTCACCCCTGTGGGTCTGTAGGGAGCTGGAACTGGTGCTTTGCTCTGGCTGGTCATGCCTTATTTGCCACTGATCAGAGGTGAGAGCTCCTTCATCCCTTTGTTTTCAGCAGCCACAGTGAAATGCATTGGAACAAAGTACCACTTGCCTTCTGACATGGGGTGTGTTGTACTCCTTAGCTGAGCACAGAAAAGTAACCACTGGCTGCAAAATATACACATATGTAGTAAATATACTGCCTCATGCTCTTTTAGTCATCTTCATTAACCAGACAGCTGACTCTTCATCAGGCAGAGGACATCCTTCTTCCCTTTCTTTCTTTTCTGACCTGCTTCTGGCCAGGTTTTGGGACTTCCCCATTGTCCCTGTGGGCACAGGCTCTGCCGTGCCCCATCTCCTCTTGGTAAAGCAGGGGGCTGGAGCTTGCAGTCCAGCCTGTGAGCCCCAGCCAGGGACTGGGCACTGCTCCTCACTGCCTTGGGCAGTAACAGAGGGACACGGCTGGGGGCTTGGGTCACACCGAGGTGCACCCTGCAGCTGCCCCAGGACGGTGTGGAGGCAGCTTTTGGGAGGCTCCATGGGAATGCTGAAGCCACATTTCGCTGGGATCAGAATGCCCAGCACGCTGAGCTGAGGGAAGCCAGAGATTCCTGCTGATGTGCAGGAATGGGTGGCAGCCGGGAGCACTTCAGCCTCTGTGCCAAGAGGACAGCTCGCTTTGGGACAGCCCGATGCCCTGGTCAGCTGGGAAACACAGTGCCCCACAGGATCCCGGAGCTGGTACCCCTAGTGAGGACAGCTGCTGCCATCAGGTCTGTTGTGCAGCACGAGCAGCCCTGCGGGGGCTGTTCCTGTGCCAGATGCTCCGGAATCGTGGTGCATCCCATGTGCGAGCGCTGCACAAGTCGTAATGAGCCTTCCTGCCTCTGGGAGGGAGCAAGGGAGGCTCCCAGCAGGACAGGAAGGTGAAAGGAGCCAATTAGGCAGCACCCCATTGCTAGGGCAGAGCAGTAGTGGGGACTTTGGAAGTCACCTCTTGAGGACAAGTATTGGCTGGCTTGACCTCGTTTGGGGGCACCAGGGGCTGACACACTGCAGGGAGCTGTGACTTGCAAACTCAGCTGAGGGTGCAGGTATTGGGGAGTACAGGAGTTCCCCAAAACCCACTCTGAAGTGGGGGGTCCCAGGATTGCCCGTGTCCCTGGGAAGGCAGAGCCTGCATGGCCAGTGGTGCCCTCTGGAAAGAGAGGCAGAGGCTGGAGGGGTTCATAAATGTCAGCATTTTCTTTTCAAACACAAAAGCTAATAGCCATCAGGCCTGAGGGTTTCCCGTTGCCATGTTCGACTTGGTCTTCTTCACTGCCAGACAAAGCCCTTTGGGAGTGAGGGATGGGTGGTGTTTGAGTCTGGCTAAGCCCCTGGCTAGCAAAAAGCCCTGCAGCAGCAAGTCCTTTAGATTAGGAAAGGAAATGACAGTTCCTTTCCTCTCCTTGAAGCGTGCTTCCAGCCCCTTGGCAGGGAGATGGAGGACAGCACGTGGGTGGCATCCATCACAGCCGCCTGTCTCCCACTCCATCTCCTCCTGTGCCAGCCCCTGCTGAGTGCCACAGCCCAGCAGTGCCCCTGCCCTGCACTGCCCAGCTCTTGGGTGCCTCCTCCTTCTACCCCTGTCCTGGATGCCTGGACACAACACAGCCAACCAGCTGAAGTGCCTACCACAAGCACAAAACCTTCTCCACACCACTGTTAAATATTTCCTTCCTTACCCTCCTCTTTCCCTCAAGGCTGACTTTGTTGTTCCTCATCTCTTCTGTGCACAACATGTTGTTTTCCAGCCAGCTGCCCTTAGAGAGACACGGGGCTACTCCTGAGTGCTCCTGGTTAATTTAGAAGCAAGCAATATGTGTAAGTCATTGTAATTACTCCTTGCAGCCAGCAACGCTATTGATTTGTCATCTCCTCTACCTTTTAAGCCCTGTTGCAGGTTTGCAGCTCTTGCAAGGCTCGGCTTACCGAAAAGAAATGGTCTCATCTTGCTCTCCTCCTCCTCAGACGGGTAAGAAGCAGACGTTGCTTCTTGCAGAGAGCCAGGGCAGGATGGAAATCAAATATTTATTTCTGCTCTTCATTTGTGTCTCCCATCCAGTTCCTAATCTCTCCATAATGCCTTTGTTTCCTGAAGAGCCTTATGTGGAGGCATTTGCTGGAAGCTTTTAAAAGGTTTGGGAAAATTCTACCAAGTTTTTCTGTGTGCCCCCAGGTCTGCCTAGCTGTCTGTGAACCTCTGGGGGAGAGGAACTCACCCTGCAAAAGCTCTGCCACTGGGCTCTCCCCATTCTCCTGTTCCAGAAGTGACAGATCCACATCCTGGGGACATGGACATGGCTGGGATGAGGATCATGCCAGCATCATTTGGCAGAGATGAGGAGGGCAGCACCGAAGGCCCTGATCAAGCATCTCCTGGTGTCCCCTTTGTTCCTGCTTTTCTGTGAGGACTTGCACACAGTTTCAACGTGGGCTGGTTTTCCGGGCTCCGGAGGAGATGGGTGTTTTGCCAATAGCCTACATCAGCAGCCAGGCTGTTTCCATCCCTGTTCATCCTCTCACGTTTCTCCTGCCTTGGCCAGCAGCCCCAAGAGCCTCTCACAGTGCTTCTGCAGTTTTGATAGGAGGGTGTTCTGGACCAGTTTTCCTCCCCATTTAACCTCTTTCTGAGTTTATGATCCCATCAGTGTTTTTTGGCATTTCCTCCTCTAGAAAATGTTGTGCTTAATTATGCTGCTGTTAGTTGGGCATGTGAGCAGATGGCACCTGTTGAACCCTCTCTTACTGATGGGGGTATGAGCTTCCAGCTCAGCAAGGCCCTTGAACCAATGTTCCAGCTGATGTACACACTTTTTCTTCAAAACCAGCCCTCAACTTTGTGAAGATGTGCTGAAGGTGAGGGTGCCAGCCTTTCTTTTATGGCATTAAATACCCTGCAGAAGGAGAAGTGGGGGGGGCAGCTCTGACTCACAGAGGAGATCCCACCAGCATGCCAGCAATGGGAAAACTCAGTCCTCTGGCTTTGTGCTCCCCTTGCCCCAAATGTTGGTGAAGCTGTGCCTTTCGTAGGAGGAGCAGGACCCCCTGAGAGGCAAAAGCACCATGCAGACCTGATCATGAATTGTTCTACAACAGGAGCTGCAAGAGCCATGCCTGAACCATCTTGTGCCTAGCTGGGTCAGAAACTCATTACTAGTACTTAATTAGATTTACACTCAATGTGAGCTCCTTGCTATCATGCTCTGACCTAGAGGCCAGGATTTCTCAATTGTTTCTGCTTCTCTCCATGGAGAGATGTTTCCCCCAGCCCTCATGCCCCACCAGCAGTACCCCATACTGCTCTGCAGTGGGGTAGATCAAAGGTGGCCAGACTGTGACACCATCCCCTTGGGCTGACCAGTCCCGTGCATGTCCATCCCCCCAGCAAGCTGGCACCGCGCAGGAGGCTCGAACAGAAAACATCACGTTTATTGTTCACGATCAGCTTTACAAAAGAAGCGCCCCAACACGGGCACGCCTCAGGGCCCTTTTCACAACGTGCATTGGAGAAAGCGCGCGAGCGAGCGAGCGAGGGAGGGAGAGGGGGCAGCTCCTCAGGGTGCACGGAGGTCACAGTGTTCCCACTTGGCACTGGGGCTGCTCCCCATCCCCGCCGTGTCATCCCCAGTGGGCTGAGCCACCCCAGCACTGGGCAGGGGGATGGGGGGCAGCAGGGCTGTCCCTTCTGCCAGCTTTGCCTCCCCCAGGGAGGGGGCAGCTGCCACCCAAAGTGGGACTTGGGGTAGGGGGAACACTGGAAGCTGAACACTGCATTGAGCAACCATGAGAGCCCCGAAATTACCCTCCCACCCCACCCCCAGACACACACACACACACACGTGCACATACACACACTCACATATCGAGATGTTGGTGACCACGCAGTGTGGAAACAGCGGATTCTCAGGCACTCCACACACAGGGAGAACACCAGCCTGCTCTGTCACCCTCCCAGTTTCAAGGCCGGTGGCAGCCCTGTTCCTGGCAAGGAGCAGCTAAAGAAGGGGACCTGGGTGGAACCAAGGGCAGTAGCCCAATCCAGTACCAAAAGACTGGGGGATGGATGGCAGGGCTCCTCTGACCACCACCATCTTCCATCTCTCTTTTTCTTGCTTTTGCTCCCTTTGGTGGCAGTGCTGCACTCCTTCCCCCTCGGCCAGCGCTGGGGGAGATGCTTTGCCCCTTTCCCCCATTCCCTTGGTGGCTGACCCATCCCCCAGCTTGGAGGTGGTGGGGAGTCTCTCTTCCCTCTGCCTTAAAAGCCTGGCTCTCCTCGGGCAGCCCTGCCCAAACAGGCAGCAGAGGCAGGGAAAGGGGTGCAGGGGGGTAAGTGCTGTGCCACTGACTCTCTGCCATTCTCCCTCAGCTTCCCTGGGGCCACATTTGAAAAACCAGGGCAGCAGGAGAAGGATGGGGCTGGAGGTGGGATCCTGGAATGCAGGCTCATAAAACTGGACAGTGAGGTTGTTAGAAATAAATAAGGAAAGGGGATGTGTTCAGGTGATGCCTGCACCCTGGCATCCCACTGAGGCTGGACTGCACTCAAAGCAGAGGGAGTTCTCCTTCCCACTCCCTGTTAGGTCTGACAAGGTGAGGACCCTCACCGTACCAAGGACACTTGCAGGTACAGCGAGTTCCACCCAAAACAGAAGTGGGGCAAGATGAGACTCAGGAGCCAGCCTGCCAGGAATGAGGACAAGCCACAGCACCAGCACAGGGACAACAGGGAGGCTTCCAGGGTCCCCTCTCCCTCCTGGGACACCAGCACAGGGCTCAAGCATTGCCCTGGCAAGGCTCAGTGGTCTGGGAGGGGAGAAAGGGGCTCCCTGCTTCAGGGCTGCCAGCGGGCTCCTTGGCGCTGGGAGAGGGCTGGGGCCGCTCACGCCTTCCTCCCTTCCTCGCAGGCGGCAAAGCCCGCCTTGCTGGCACCTCCAAAGACCTCCACCGCCTGCTCATCCCACTGGATCACATTCCCTTGGAGGTGGGAGGTGCAGTTAGCCAAGCCCAGGATCTCTGCTGGCGCCAGCATGTGGTCCCACACGCCGAACTGCGCCAGCTCTCCCACGAAGGCCTGTGTGGCATCAAAGCGGCCTCCCAGGGTGTCCTGGGAAAGAGCAGGAGAGGTGATTGCACAGGGATGAAGAGAAGAGGAACATGCATCCCGTGGGAAATGGCAAGGGGGACAGGGAGAGGTCTGGGGAGAAGCAGAGCAAGGTGCTTGGTGGCAAGGAGGGGAGGGGATGAATGCATGGAAGAGATTCAAGAAGACAAGGCAGGGAAGCCAAAGGGATAGGGAGAGGGAAGAAGACAGTGAGGGGGCATGACCAGCCTGGAGGCTGGATGAACAGGCAGGAGAGACAAGTGCCCTGCTGAGCACTCCTGCCCATGCTGCCCCCTCTCCTCGCCCCATTTGGGGGCTTTTCCCCCCAGCCAATTCCCACTACAGCGATGCTAGCTGGCAGCTCTCGGTGTCGAACTGGTACCTACCTGCTCCTGGCCCAGGATGATGACACCCTGGGGCCTGATGGAATGCCAGGAGGCCAGGTTCTCCCCGGCACCCCGCTGTTCACCATCCTGGTACGCTGACCACTTGCCGTCCCGGGTGGTCCATGCCACGCAGACGTGGTGCCAGGCCTTGTCCTTCAGACTCAGCGGCAGCTGGGCAACCTTTGGGAGAAGAGCGAGATCCCAGTGCTCGGTAGGACTGCTGGGGGACCCCAGGATCTCCCCAGCCCCTTGCAGAGCAAGCAGTGCACCCCCGTGGTGGTGGTGGCATCCCAAAATCTACAGACATGCAGATGTGCTGCTTCTCCCTCTCAGAACTCACCCCAATGAGCCATCCTCCCAATCCTCCTGCCTCCCACCATAAACTTAGGGCTCCCTCCTCCTAGCTCCCCCACACCAGTGTCCCCAGGAATGTAATTTCCTGGGGGGATTGAAGCAGGGAAGATGAGGGCAGGGTTTCCTCTCCTGCCACTGGGCTGACCTTGTCATTGATGAGCAGCTCCAGGGGGTTCGTGCCCCACTCCAACAGCACGATCTCATTGGCTTGGCTCGGGACGGAGTAGGAGAATGGGGTGCCAATGCCTGCCAGGCCCTTGGACTTGAGCCACATGCAGATGGTGAAGGCATACAGCTCCGGCAGGCTCTTCTTCACGCGGGCATACATGTAGTTGTTCTGCACTGGGATGGTCACCTTGAAGGCATCAGGAGGGCTGTAGCCCAGTGGTCCTACATATCGAGGATGGGGAGGAGAGAGGAAGGTCAGCACCTGTAGCTGGGATGAGGGTGGCCTATCCTGGGTCTCTCCTGGCGATGCACCTCAGGGTGGGAGCCCTCTGCCCCACCTCCATCCCGCTGGGCAGGACTCACCGTGCTCCAGCTCCGTCACGCGGTTCTGGAGGGAGTTCAGCTCCTTCTCGATGTTGTGCTGCTGCTGGCTGCGGTCACTGCTGGCGGCCTGGCGCTCCTTCTGCAGGGTCAGGATCTTGGAAAGGAGCTGCTCCTCCAGCTGCTCCATCTTGGTGTGGAGGGCGTCGCGGGCAAGTGCCGGGGCAGTGGGTGCTGAGCCATTGGTGCGGGCTGGCAGCTCCTGCTGCATTTGGTGGCAGCAACGACGGCGGGAATAGGAGGGACAAAAGAGAAAATTCAGCACAGTGTCACTATAAGAGTTAAAATAAGGACATGCCCAGCCTGCAGCACCACAGGTAGCGCTGGGATGACAGTCCCATATCCGCACTGGGGTCTTCTCCAAGAGCCTCCAGCTGACTTTGTACCTCCCCTCTCAGAGCCCCCACTGAGCTCATTACTGCAAAATGAAGCTTGGCTGCTCTTAATGACTTTCTGCGCTTCAGAGACAGAGCAAAGATGGGATGTGTGGGTCATCCCTTGGCTCTGCTCCTGCAGGCAGCCTCCCACCATGAGGAAATGATGAAGGCAGGACCTTGGAGCTCCCAGCCAGTCCTGCTGCTCGTGAGGCCGCTTACCTACAGCCAGCACGTTAACATCTCTTAATGGGGCTGTAATCCTCTTAGCCGAGCTCAGCTGGCGTGCGGGGGTGTGTGCACGTGTGCCAGGTAGCTCTCCCCTTCCACCAGGATGGCAGGGACAAGTGGGACTGGTGCCAGGCTGTCGTGTCTCTGGCCCTCAAGGCAGAGGGGGACACCTGGGGACACCGAGCCTGTCTTGTCCAGTCAGGGTTAACACTCAGACCAAAACTCTTCCCATGGCAAGTCCAACACGGCAGCTGGTGAAGATGGTGCCAGCTGCTACTGCTGCAAAGACCCCAGATCCCACCTTACTGGGAGACCCCATCCCAGCTGGAAGAAAACCACTCTGGAAGGGAGAAAGTGACCTTTTGCCATGCTCCTGGAGTTTCTCTGTAAATAGGAGCCCTCTTCTTTCCCTATGTCGAGGAGAGAGGAAGGTCAGCACCTGTAGCTGGGATGAGGGTGGCCCGTCCTGGGGCTCTCCTGGCGATGCACCTCAGGGTGGGAGCCCTCTGCCCCACCTCCATCCCGCTGGGCAGGACTCACCGTGCTCCAGCTCCGTCACGCGGTTCTGGAGGGAGTTCAGCTCCTTCTCGATGTTGTGCTGCTGCTGGCTGCGGTCACTGCTGGCGGCCTGGCGCTCCTTCTGCAGGGTCAGGATCTTGGAAAGGAGCTGCTCCTCCAGCTGCTCCATCTTGGTGTGGAGGGCGTCGCGGGCAAGTGCCGGGGCAGTGGGTGCTGAGCCATTGGTGCGGGCTGGCAGCTCCTGCTGCATTTGGTGGCAGCAACGACGGCGGGAATAGGAGCGACAAAAGAGAAAATTCAGCACAGTGTCACTATAAGAGTTAAAATAAGGACATGCCCAGCCTGCAGCACCACAGGTAGCGCTGGGATGACAGTCCCATATCCGCACTGGGGTCTTCTCCAAGAGCCTCCAGCTGACTTTGTACCTCCCCTCTCAGAGCCCCCACTGAGCTCATTACTGCAAAATGAAGCTTGGCTGCTCTTAATGACTTTCTGCGCTTCAGAGACAGAGCAAAGATGGGATGTTTGGGTCATCCCTTGGCTCTGCTCCTGCAGGCAGCCTCCCACCATGAGGAAATGATGCAGGCAGGACCTTGGAGCTCCCAGGCAGTCCTGCTGCTCGTGAGGCCGCTTACCTACAGCCAGCACGTTAACGTCTCTTAATGGGGCTGTAATCCTCTTAGCCGAGCTCAGCTGGCGTGCGGGGGTGTGTGCACGTGTGCCAGGTAGCTCTAGCTCTCCCCGTCCACCAGGATGGCAGGGACAAGTGGGACTGGTGCCAGGCTGTCGTGTCTCTGGCCCTCAAGGCAGAGGGGGACACCTGGGGACACCGAGCCTGTCTTGTCCAGTCAGGGTTAACACTCAGACCAAAACTCTTCCCATGGCAAGTCCAACATGGTGGCTGGTGAAGATGGTGCCAGCTGCTACTGCTGCAAAGACCCCAGATCCCACCTTACTGGGAGACCCCATCCCAGCTGGAAGAAAACCACTCTGGAAGGGAGAAAGTGACCTTTTGCCATGCTCCTGGAGTTTCTCTGTAAATAGGAGCCCTCTTCTTTCCCTATGTCCTTAGTGCATAAGTGTCTCTGCCATGGGCTCTGAAAGATGACAACCACCTTCTCTGTGTTGCCAGACATTTCCAGAGGTGCTGGAGCAGCCATGGAGACCCTTGCCTTGGCTCCTCCAGCACCAAGGGATCTGCATGCCTGCTTCAACCCTGGACATTCACAGGGCTTGTGCTGGCAGGACACGGGGGATACCATCCCTGTCGGTCTGAACAGACTCCCTCCTGCCTCAGAGCTGCCTGGGGGAGGTCAGCACACTCACCTGTGGTTGTGGTTCCCTGTTTTTTCTTCTTTCTTATATCCAGCTTACCCAGGCTGGACAGGACCTGATAATCACACACACAAAGCTGAAGGAGAGGAATGCCTGCCCACCTCACCCCTAATCTTCACTATGCATCATGAACAACAAAGGGGAGGGAAAGGCTGGAAGAAAGTCAGGTTTGGCCGGGCAGGATGCAGCCTTGGCGGATGGGAACAGCAGGGAGAGGAAAAGTGTGGAGAAGATGGTGCTGGTGTGAGCACAAATGTACCCACTCTGGGCAACAACATGCTCAGGCTACAAATAAAATGGAAGTTATCATGCCCCAAGGTTGGCAGGAGCTTCCAGCAGGGTCTGCCAGAGCAAACCCACAAGTTCCGTGAGGAAAACCAACCTGGAAAAGGAAAACCCAGCAAGAAAAGAGAGGTTGTGCTGGGGACACCTGCCAGCCCTGACCAAATGCCAGTTCTCACTGCCGGCTTGCTCTGGGCAGCACTAAGGATGCTCTTGCAGTGAGAGCAAAACCTCTCTGGTAAGGGAAAAGTGCCCAGCAAAGAGCATCCTGCCTTTGCTCTTTGCAAAACTGAAAGATTATCTGATGGGAAAGGGGCTTTAACTATTTTGCTGGGGTTTGTTTTGGTTTTTTTGTTTTGTTTTGTTTTTTCGGGGATTTTTTTTTAAGGGGTCTTGGGCACTGGATGAAAGGCAGGGTAGAGATGGCAGGAGGGAAGGGAAGTGCAAAGTTTAATTCTCATCCTCCTGGCAGGGACAATTCCCACCTGGGGCTGTCTGCATTTGTAGCCAAGCTGAGCTGGCTGCACTGGCAGGAGGCAGCACAGGTGGGAGGGGGCTGCCTTTGCCTCTATGGCCACATCCCGTGGGCTCCAAGAGCTTTTCTTGTCCTTTCAGGCAAGAGCTTTTCTTGTCCTTTCAGGCTGCCTGGCTGCAGCGGAGGCTGGCACGCTCCTGTCTGCCGCACGCTTTGACTGCTCGAGCTGCGGGTTTGGAGCCTACGTCCCTGCTTTCATGCATGGCTCCATCTGTTAATGATGAAAAAAGAAAAAGCTGGGAGATTTTGTCACTCTCACTAGCCCCCGATAGCCTGCCCTACATTATTCAGTAGTGACTGAGTACTTTTTTTTAAACCTCTGTCTTCCTCCTGCTTTTCTCCCTGCTGCTATTTTCTCCCCTCTGTAACTTTTCTCCCTATGGCTTTTCCATTTCTCTGACTTCAGAGCGTCTCTTCCTGATGCTTCTCTCCATGCTCACACACTGTGTCTTTCCCCCTTCACTCACTTTCTTCCCCCTCCCGAGTTTCCCCCTCCCAGCCCTCTCTCCAGCTCTTGCTGGTCCTTCCCAGTTGGCAGCCAGGGTACCGAGAGCCGGAGCCACATGGCAGACTGAACCATTGCTGCCCCGTGCTCCTTCTGGAAAGGGATTATAGTCAGCACCCTCACCTGGCAGGGTTTCAAGGCCATCCCAGCAAACACCATCCCTGTCCCCATGGACAGAGGATGGCTGGACAGGAGACTGGACTCCCCATTCTACCCCGTGCAGCTGAGTTGTGCTGGGTGATGCCCCTGATGCCAGGCTGGGCTGCATCCCTGAGCTGTGATCCTCTGAGCTGCTGCTCGAGCATCTTTCTCACTAGGCAAATTATCTGCAAAATTATTAATGGTTGATGTGCAGCTGTTATTTACTGGTGACCTTTGGGGAGGGGAAGGGGGGAGCCCTCTCCCTGGCTGTTCGGCAGGCACCCGGCTTCCCATCTGCCGCCGCACAGGCAGCAGGGGAGTGGGCAGTGCGTGTGGGGGAGGCTCCTTCCATGCTTTTTGGCCACCAGAACCGGCAAAAAAGATTGAAAGATGCCAGGTAATATTAATCACGTTAAATGTCAGCGGCTGGCGGGGGTGGGGAGGGGGAGGTGGGGCAGGGGGCTGCGGCAGCCACGCCGGCGTGTGCTCTCTGGGGCTGCAGCCCTCGGGCAGCAATTGCACTTTGATTTACATAAGGAGATCAGAGCCTCATTTACCGATGCACCGGCAGATCCGGGCGCTGCTGATGCTGCCCCTCAGCCCCAGCACACCAGTGCCCACCCTGGCTGCTGGGACAGGGCAGGCAGGAGCACAGGAGGAGGGAGCCCTGGCACATCCCAGGAATTGGGATGCACACACACAGCAGACCCTTTCCACTTCTTGGACCCATGAATCCTTACAGCCCGCACAAAATTCCTCATGGCTGCTGCCTTGGGACACTCACTGCTGCAGGACAGCACACCTGCTGCACCAGGGGTTTTGGACACTGCCACCTCTTTGGACCCAGGGAGGACCTTGGGGGTCATTAAGCTCCAAAAGGGATTGCATGGAGTAGAAGAAAAACAGGGATGCATCAGCCTTTCCCTCTTCCTCATAAGAAGAGGGCTCACTGTTGATCCTGTCCCCCTAAAATCTCGCTCAGAGGGAGGGGGCTGGGACTGTCACAATTTGGGTGTTCACATCCCCTCGCTGCTGGAGATTGAGACAAGAGGGAAGATGCTAGGTCACCCCCATTCCCATTCCCATTCCCTAGCCGAGGGTTTCCTGCCAGCAGCCAGGTCACCAGCCGCAATGGCACAGCCACGACAGCCGAGGAGCAAGCAGGCTGTTGCAATTCCACCGGGTCCCCCAGGGAGCCCATCAGGCTGTCCCCTCTCCCGCTCCGCTCTCCTGCAAGGGATGATGGGGAGAAGGGGGGCATCTGCATCTCACACAGCCCAGGCAGCCAAGGTGATTCTCCCCCCATCCCTTCCCATTTGCAGCAAAAAGTAAAAGCGTGGAACAGGAGCACCTGGATCCCTTGGCTCTGTGTTCCAAGATGCACCAGCGAGTACAGACATGAGCACGTGCTGAGAGAAAGGGGGGGACCCTGGAAACCAGGATGAAAAAGCCTAGCTAGGCTGCTGTGCGTGAGGAAAGGACGATCGGGGTGGCGTTAGGAAGAGGTGAGGGAAGATGTGTGAATGCTGTGCTGATGCTAGCCCAGCCCCACAGAAACGGCAGGGGACAAAGAGCAAGACCGTGGGGGCCCTGCCTGCATCCTCTCCTGGGGAATCCTTCTGCCATGCCGACAAAATTAAGAAACAAATGCCTTAATAGGTTTTTCAGTGCATGAATAAATCTTGTTATGCCTTTCAGACAGGGCTGAGAGTGCCCAGATTAGATCAGCAATCTTCCACCAGCCCCCTCCCTGCAGTCCCGGCTCTGAAGCATCCAGCAGTAATCCCTGCTGGCAAACCTGACTGGAGACTCCCTGGGACGCAGCCTTCCCAGGGCGGCCCATGGCATTTTGTGTCATCTCTCTTCTGAGACTGAGCCACCTCAGACTTGGCAGCATTTCCTCTCCTTCCCAATGGGTTTTGCAGCCTGTCCCCATCCAGGTCACCTTTTGGGATGACCATTGCCATTGTCCAGGATGGCTGTGGAGGCTGAGAGTGCCTCCCGTGTCATGGGGTACCCCAGGAGGGCTCCCAGGGCTGGCAGCTGCAGTGATGTGGGACAGAGGAGTGCACGTACCCCACCAGCAAGTTTTAAGGGTCTGCTCCTGGGGTGGGGAGGGAGGCAATTCAGAGAGGGGGGACACAGGCAACTGTCCCTGGATGGCTGAGGTGTGACCACGAGGCTCAGCTGGCTGGGCTGCAGCCCTCACAGGGGTGTGCAGCACACCAGTGACACTTTTTACCAGGACAAGGACCAGCCCACCTGTAACACGCTGCCCTATTTCCTCACCTGGCAGGGCTCAGTGAGCCTCAGGGTGCTGTGTCTCCCCTGCAGAGTGTACCTGGGACCCTCAGGCCCCTGGCAACACAAACATTTTTGGTCATGTGCCACTTGGCTTCCTCGTCAGTGTGTGCATGAGCCTGGTCCCAGCTCCACTTTAGGCTCCTGAGGCACGTGTGACAGCCTGCTCCAACCCTTGTGAGCTTCACCCTCCTCCTCCTCCCCCCCAAACCTCCCACCACCCTCAGAAACCCTGGGAGAAGAGCCAGGGCAGCTCATGGGGGATGCTGCCCCACAGAGAAGAGGGAGAGCATGGCTCTATTGCCTCATGCTGCCCAAGATCCAAACTGATATGCTGGGCACCATCCCACCGTGCATCATCTGGGATAGGTGTGCAGAGACCTATTGCCCTGCTTTATTTTTGGGTGAGCATACCTGCTGCGTTATTCCACTGATAGAAAATCATTTGTTTAGGGCTGCAGGGTTTTTTTGGGGGGTCTGTCCCTCCCTTTGGCTGCATTTGGCTCTGGACAACATGTCAGACAGGCTGCACATCCCACACTCCCTGCATGTGCCTGGCATGCCTCTGTGTTTCTTCTTGTGCCTGTGTGTGCATTACCCTGGCTGCTCACAGGTGCTTCCTCTCTGGTTTTCCAGCTCCTTTCCTTCTTGTGTTCGTGTGTTTATTTCCTTTCTCTGTCTTTTTATTCCTGTTCATATCTCCATCACTTACAAAAACCCTCTCTCCCGGTCTCATTTCTCAGCCTGTGACCTTAGTGGCTCTGAATTTCCCATTCCCATTGTCTGCTGCTGAGCCCACATGTCTGTAGGGAGGGGGGCAGAAGGGCAAAGCTGAGGAGAGGGACCCTGTGGTGTGCATGACCCCCCTCCTAGCTCCACACTCCAGGGAAGAGTGGAAAGAGCAACAGGAAACCGAACAGGAAGGTTGAGGACTCGCAGGAGGCTCCTTGCAGGTGGCTCTGACACCTGACAGACCTCAGGGAATAACTCCTACCTGGAGCAATTCCCACAGGGAAAACAGACACCTCTCCTCTTGCAGCTCTCACATGCCACAGCCATATCCTGCAAAGTCTGCCAAGTTCCGTGGGACTGCTGAGTCCAAATCAGCTCAAATAAATGAACACTAACATGCACTCTGTGATGTGCCCCGTGACCTGGTGGAGCCTCTGGTGCCACAGGACTGTGCCTGGGCCAGGGCTGAGCCTGCCAGGCACAGCTGCTGCAGAATGGGGACCAGGGGTCTGCATCCCAAGTGCCAACAGCCCAGTGCCACAGGAATGGGCACAGTGAATGAGCTGTGCCCTTCTCTCTGCAGCTCCTAAGGACCACGTGGGGAAAGGGTGCCAGGCTCATGGTGGGTGGCACTGCACTTTACTCTGTGAGATGTCCCATTCATACCCATGATGGCATCCGATGGGATTTACCTTTCTGCTAAAGGGCAGGATCTGGCTGCCAGAGCTGCCAACCTGCTCCGGAGGAGTCCTTAACAGGTGCTATGGGCCAAGCAAGGTGTCGTGCCCGGGTGCAGCCTGTGGGGAAATTGGGGCAGCCTGGTGCTTAGGGAATACTCTGCATGGCAAAGAGAGAGGAGGGCTCAAGGTGAGTCCCTTGCCCCTGGGCAGAGATCTCAGGAAAGAGGGAGGCAGGGACAGCCTTCCTGAAGCCTCACGAGGGGGACGAGCTAGTTCGGGGTGCATGCGGCTGCAGGCTGGGGAATGGCACGTGTGGGAGCATCTTTCCCCGGGAGCATCCCGCCCAGATCCCCAGGAGCATCCCTCGCACCTCTATCCGGTCGATTCTGTCCTGGAGGGTGCGGACAGCCTCTTCCAGCTCCCGCACGGCGGGCGGCTCGTCGGGAGGGTGGCCCATGGTGCCGGGGCGCGGCGCGGCGCGGAGCCCGGCGGCGGCGGGGGGCGCGGCGGCGGGGGGGCTCCGCAGGCCGCCCTCGCAGCGGCTGAGCTTGCCGGTGAGCTCGCGGATGGTCTCCTGGTCCATGCGGATCCGCTCCTTCTGCTCGAGCGCCGTGCGGCGCAGCTGGGCCGCCGCGCTGCGCAGCGCCAGCAGCTCCTCGGGGCCGGCGGCGCTGCCGCTGCCGCTGCCGGTGCCGGCGGCCGGGCACTCGGTGCTCAGCGGCGTGCAGACGAAGCGGCTGAAGAGCGGCGGCCCGCCCGGCAGGCGCGGCCCGGCGCTGGCCAGAGCCTCGGCGGGGCCGTGCAGCGCTCCCAGCCCCTTGTCGGCGGCGGGCAGGAGCGCGGCGGCGGCCGAGTCATTGTCGGCGGCGGCGGCGGCGGGCGCGGCGGTGCCGGCCGGGTGGACGCTGGCGATGATGCAGATGATGGCCCCGAGGAAAGCCAGCATGCCCGCCGCCAGCAGCACCGCCAGAAACTTCAGGGTGGCAGCGGCGTGGGGGGCCCGAGCCCGCGGACGGCGAGAAAACAAAGCGGGCGGGGATGGAGAGGGGGAAGGACGGTCGGAGGGATGGACGGGCAGCACGGAGGGAGCCGGCGGCGAAGGACGGTACCGGCAGCAGCACCGGCGCCGGGGCCCCGCCGCGCCGCGCCGCGCTTATATGTGCCGGGCGGCGCCGCCCCGCCCCCCGGCCCCGGCCGTGCCCCCGGCCGTGCCCCTCCGAGTGACCCCCCTCCCGCTCAGCACCCTCCCCGGGCTGCAAGGGCGACCGCCCGAGCCGCGGAAGCCAGCGGCTAAGGGAACGGGAAGGGCAGGCAGGGCGCCCCGGGGCACCCGGGGACGGGGCCAGCCCTGCCCTGCCCCGGGCTCGCTGAAGTCAGCCCGGCGGGAGCTTCTGGAGAGAGGATGCTGCTCCGGCACAGCCCAGGGGGTGATTTTTGCCCTGCGAGATGCCTAGACTGGCAGTAAAGGGACGCTTGATACCCCGAGGATGAAAGCCTCGTAATCACTCATTCCCTGTGATGGTCTTTTGGGCCTTTTCCGCCTTCCTCCTGAAAACTGAACTAGCAAAGTTCCTAGCTGCCTTGCTCTCCCCCCTCAGACGGGACTGTTGCAGAGAGCTGCCATGGGATGCCTCACCCTCTGCCCCACACGCCCACGTTATCCATTTGGGAAATAAAGACACAGGCTTAATTTCCCCCACCATCACTCTAGTCTGAGCTGCTCATAAACAAGCTGCTTCAGACCACCACTACCTCCTTGCTCCAACAGAAGCTGTGCCGTGCCCTCTCCTGTTCCCCAGGCACACTGGGGCCTTGGTGACACAGCCCTGCCGAGAAAAGAGGAGCAGAAGAAGGAAAACAACCAAAATCAATTTCAAGGTCTACTCAGTAATGGCAGGAAATCCTAGCAAGCAGGCAGGGAAGCAGGAGCGTGTCTGTTTAAAGCAGCTCCAGTGCTGGGTATGAAACAACAGTAAAGATTACCTCTTCTTTCCCCCCAGACATGTCTGAGTGGATAGCAAGGGAGCCAGAGCTACAAAAGACTCCTCAAATTTGGCTGTTGACAGCACACAGTCACCCTTTCTCCCCAGAGAGTGCATTGTACCCCAGCCCCTGAAAACCATCACCCCAGAGCCAGCAAGAGACCTGCCTGACTTGTGGTGTTGTAAGGCTGTGGAGAGGAGGAGGAGAGGAGGACAGATGGGGTTTCAAGGAAGAGGTAGAGATGAAGGGAATGCTGAGGGGGAAAAGTGGAGCTGGACATGGAGCAGTCTGGGAGGGTGGATGTGAAGAAAGCCAAGCAACAGGCGTCTGGTCCTGGTGGCGAGGCTGGTGAGCGCTGTGGGAGGGGAGTGCTCGGTGTGATGGGACAATTGCACTGGAGAGGGATGCAAAGGAAACAGAAGCCTGCACCCCATGACGTGGGGGAAGGCCACCAGCTTCCAACCTGTCCCTTGCTAACAGTGGCAGGGGATTGCACCCTGCTGGCAGTGCCCAGGCAGGAGTGGGACTGGAAGGAACCCGTGTGAGAGCTGCACCAGGCCACCCTGCCCCACAGAGTGCACATCAGGGTGGGAGGGGTATCCTTTATCTGCTACCCTGCGGGGAAAAGTGCCATACGCTCCTACAAAGCTTCTTGCCAGGGGAAGTGATGCTTTGCACTGTCTAGATTTTATTACCGAGGGTTGCAGGATGGTCGTGGCAAGGTTTGTACCTCTGGCTGATGCTGCTCTGGCAGTGAGGGGAAGGGTGAGCCCCTCTGCACCAGCCTGGCCCCACTCACCCGTGCTGGGGTGGGGAAGAGTTGGGTATCGCAGCAGGGCAGGGCTCACCTCTCCCACGGTCCCGACCTGTCCCTCAGCAGGGACAGCTTCTTCCCAGAAACAAAGAGGTGACAAAAATAGATTTTCACAGGGAGGGATGACTCAGAGCGGTGAGCGGCCAGAGCAGCCTCCCTGTCCCATGGATAACAATTTGGAGATGCTCGGTGGGCAGCCGGCCCCTGCAAGGACGGTGCGTGACAGGGTGGGGGGACAAGGCAAAGTGGGGCTTTTTTGGTTCCTGTTTTGAGCAGGATTGGTGACAGAAGCTGGATTTAACAAGAGCTCATGGATTCAGCCCAGAGGGACTGGAAGTAAGCAATTAAAGGATTTTCTTCCATTTAATTAACACCAAAATGGTGTCTGGGACTAGCAGCTGTCCCCAAGGGGTGGTTGCAGACAGGGTCAAGGCAGGACAAGGGGTGACCCTGCTGTGCCCCCTGGGTGAAAGGGTTTGGGATGGACTGCTGGCTTAAGGGGAAGGACACCTGCTGCTCCAAGGCTGCCCTGCATCCAACCCTCCCCTCAGGAACCAGGCAGCTCCATCCTGGCCAGCATGAAACCCTGGCCCATTCATGATGCTGTGAGGCCAGCAGGGTGGTGGGTGAGGGAAGGGGAGAAACCTTTTCCCAGGGGTGTGTAAGCTGATGCCTCTGAGGTGGGGGATTCCCTCCTCACAGGTTATCACCCAGCTCAGGAACATCCCCAGGCCCCCCTAAGGAGATCAAAGGGCTCCTCTGCCACTCCATGGACTCAGCTCCACCATCTCCTTAGACCGGGAGCCTTCAGATCCTGGGGAATCTGCAGGTTCTACATAGCATGGAAATCCTGGCTTCTTTATTTCCAGGTTTCTCAGCCCTGCAGATGTGACTTGCATCATCTTGCCCTGGTTACTGGGTCTGCCTGCACCAGGGCAGGTGCAGGACCTTGTTGGATTTGTTCAGTCAGGCTGGGGTCTGTCTCTCCAGCCTTCCTCCTGCTCCAGAAAGCACTGGGTGAGAGTTGGCTGCACTTGGTGTTCTCAAATCCAGCCAAAAGCCCACTGGCTTCTGAGCAAAACCAGGGGGCAAGGGAGGAGGGAGTGCTGGCTTTGTGAGTGTTTCCTGCAGAAGAGGCAAGGTGAGCCTGATGGCCTGACATGAACGACACCTGGACTGTGCTTGGCTTTGTGGGCAGCATTCCCTGCTGCCAGCTGTGCCACCACTGGAGCAGCCCCTGCCGTGGCTTTCCAAAACACCAACACTGCAGAAGCATCTCAAGGCAGCAGCTCTCTCCAAGGAACACCCAGCTCAGCCCAATCTCTCCCCGCTGGGTGAGACCTCAGCACAGCCTCCTGAAGGGCAGCCCTGAGGGTGTTTTGGATGGAGCTGTGCCCAGACACTGCCCTTTCCCCCCTACCCACAAGTGCTGCCTTCCTGCTCTTCTCTCCTGCCTGCCTGAAGGGCCTCTCTGTCCAAAGCCAACCTGCTTGCCCCACCACCAGCACCTCTCACCCAGAAGTTAAGCTGAGCCTTTTTATGCAGCTGCTACAGGCTGGAGAGTGATGGAGTGAATCTGGGGCTTCAATTACACACAGAGAAGAATTTTCACCATATTTCTTAGATCAGCTTGTGAGAAAGGGCACTCAAGCACACGTTCTGGAGCTGGGAAAAGCCTGAAGCATTTTTCAGCCACCAAGTGCTAGGTTGTACCCTGATCTCATTTCATTATTAAAAGGATGTGGGAGACCATGGGAGATTCTCCCAAGCACTTGGGAAGAGGGTGTTCAGGTTCCACTTGCTACATCTCAGCCTTCCCAAATGCTCCCTCTTCCCTTAACATTCCAGAATACTCCTTTGTCTCTTTTCAGAGCTTCTGTGTCCAGAAAGGTCCAAAGACCCAACCAGGGCTGATCCATGGTGCCCAAGGAGGGTGCAGGTGCTTGTGTTTGACTGCAGAGCTGATCTGTGCTGGCTCAGGGCAGGCATTTCCACAGCCCTCCTCCCAAGCACTGCAAGTCACAGCCCGCCCAAGGAAAACAACAACAGATTTTGGAATGTAACAATTTATTGGGGTTAATTTTTTGTTTTAATTTTTAACTCCCCATTTCTGGCATTGATACAATATTCAAGAGCAGCAGAAAGAACAAAATGTACAAGAATACAAGAGTAATTAGCACAACCCCCACCCCCAAACCTGGAGCAAACCAGTTTCTTGTAGGAAGCACCAAGGGAAGGAGTGATTCAATCACCCTTCCAGTGGCTCTGCCTCCCACCCATCCACTCTAGACAGAGTTTAGCCAGCTGGGAACTGGATTAAAAAACAAAACAAAACTGAACAAACACTATATTTAAAATGAAAATTGCAAGACAAAAAAATAATATATAGATATACAATTCATCCGTGCACAATCCTTAAATGCTTTTTTTCAAAATAAAAAAAAATTACAAGATACATATTTAGGTTTATTTTAAATTAAAAAAAATTACCACCTTCACTTTGTATGCCAAGTGAGGGGAAATGAAGAGACAGATGGGGTGCACCAGAACTATCAGCACTTGGAGTTAGGGCTGACCTTCTCCAAGAGGAAGGAAGGGCTCTGATGCTGCCAAAGCTCAAGCACAGGCAGAATCTGAAGCACCCAAGTACCACAGAATGCAGTGGGGTCACTCGCCTGCTCCAAGTTCAGTGTTTGCAGGAAATCTGCAGCATTTGAGCCTAAGCTTGGCACAGGGGAAGGTGAAAGGAAGGAACAGATGAAGCAGGCCCCTGTCCTCCACCACCAGCAGACAACTTTCTATGCAAAAAGAAAACAAATGGGGGAAAAAAAATCCCAAAGCAGAGAGTCTCCTCTATTCTTAGGGAGTGTACAAGGCTTAATGGCACAGGGGAGAAGAGGAAGGAGGACAGCACACTGAGTTGATTTGCTTGGGGGAGGTGCAGGCATGACAACTCTTTTCTAAAAAAAGTCATCACAACGATTAATTTTTTTGTTCCGTTTGAGAACTTGCCCTAAGATTCTTGCCCCCGCTTTGCAGCTGGGGGCTGGAAGCAGCAGGCTCCCTCCAGGGCAGCTGAAGAGCAACCTACCTGTGCAAGAGCACCTACCTGCTGCTCTGCCCAGAGGAAAGCCCTCAGTATCCCTGGAGAGCAGGGCCAGCTGGGGGCTGCCTGGGAGCATGGGAAAGCCCCGCTAGTCCTACGAGGCCCTGAAGCCCCACTAAGTGCTTTGACCCACCCAGCTGTGTTCTGGAGGTTTAACGTGAGCTCCAAGTGCTCAGCTGAACAAGGAATGAAGAAAAGAACCAGGGTCCTGCAATGGGAATTAACACTTTGCCTGCATGTCCCACCACGCCCCTTTCCTCCCAGCAGAA